ATAAATTTAATTATTTATTTTTATTTTATAATTTAACATTTGGATAATAATTTGAATTATATAACACATTCATTACAAAATATGTGTACCGAATCGATGAGCATTGTTAAATTGGACGTAATGCTTGGCTTATCATCATTTAGCAAGTGCACCGCAAAAAGTGATCATTACACACATGATATCTTTTTTTTTTAATTATTTTTTGTTCTCTTTAAATATGTCCTTAATTAAATAGAGATATTTTTTAAAAGATCACTTCTTAAAGTTGAAAACACTTATAAAGTAGGAGAAGTTTTCTTAAAAAATATTGTAAAATATCGTAAAATTCCAAACTATATAGGATAAAAAAGAGACATAAACTTCTCGAAAAAAATGATGTATCCAGAAGCGTAGGAAGACCAAAGATGGACGATCGTGGTTACCTAGCTAGTGGTTACATAGCTTGGGGGGGTCCTTGAAGAAAATGGCTACAAAATTCAACATTCACAGCACGTGCTACGTAAAAGTCTTAATATTCTTATAGGGAATAGGATCAATTTAGTTTAATTAATGATGCATTTCCTTGCTTCAACATGAGTTAAAAATAATAGAATTTGACGCTAATGACCCTAGCCCTAGCTAGCCCATTATTATAAATTGGCCGTTTCTGTTGTTCCTGCTAAAACAAGAAAGCACATTGCCTTTGGCTTCTCTCAACCTTTACTTTCATGTCTTCCAAAACACAAGCTCTAGTCCTCCTCCTTTCGCCCTTATTGCTGCTCTCTCACTTGAGCTCATCCCAAGGCTGCCCAATTGTTACCTACTGGGGACAGAATGTGAATGAAGGAGAGTTGAGCACATTCGGCAATGGCCAAACTCCAGACATAAACCTAGCAGGACACTGTTATGCGTCTTGGGGTGTCCCTTGCACTAAATATGCCTCCCAAATAGCCACTTGCCAAGGCCTAGGCGTCAAAATCTTCCTTTCTCTCGGAGGAGCTTCTGGCTCCTACTCCCTTTCTTCATCTGAAGAAGCCAAACAATTTGCCTCCTACCTGTGGACCTACTACCTCAGTGGTCAAAGCCCAGGTCTCCTCGGACTAGTGGCCTTAGATGGCATTGATTTTGACATCGAAGGAGGTACAAACTTGTACTGGGATGTCCTTCTTAAAGAGCTTCACGCATACACCCAGCAAAAGAAGTTTTACTTATCAGCAGCACCACAATGTCCAATCCCAGATTACTACTTAAACACAGCCATTACCACTGGCCTCTTCGACTACATCTGGGTCCAGTTCTACAACAACCCACCCTGCAAATACACTGATGATGGAGATACTCAGAAACTTATCAATTCATGGAACCAGTGGACCACCACATACACCGCCACCAAGTTCTATGTCGGCCTCCCGGCATCTCCCGCTGCAAATGGTAGTGCCGGTGGTTATGTGCCGATCGATGTGCTCAACAAGGAGATTCTTCCGCAGGTAGAAACCTCTCCCAAGTTTGGTGGGGTTATGTTATGGAGCAGGTACTACGATTATCTATCCGGGTACAGCGGTAAAATCAACTGTACTGCCCCTGCAGCTCTTAAGGTTGTCTGTGCGCCGTTGGTGACCATGATGAAATCTGCCTCCGACGTTCTGTATCGCGTTTTATCTTAGTACTAGTGTGCGACTGCAACCTCTCTAGCTATTGTCGTGTATGGAATAAGTTGTGTAGAAGGCTAGTGCCTTCGATCCTTAAGTGACAACTTGATCCTACACAGTTTGTCATCCATAAATAAAAGTTTAATTGATCGAGTGGTTCGTATGATTTTTTTTTTGGCCAAAATGTTAAGATTTGACTTGAGTGCTTTATTAAAAGGTATTGAAAGCTAGATCGGCCTCTGAATCGGTGGAAGCAATGGGTAAAGAGCCAGGGGGTAAGACCGGACTTAAAACGGGGTCAAACCGGCGGTGAGAAATAAAAAAAATTAAAAATTAATTTAAATTCTAATCATACCACCCAAAAAGACTAAATATTAATTTAATATCTTAAATCTTTAACAAAATAATCATATACTTACATTGTCTTTCCACTTTTCTCACAATTCTCTTGATAAATTTACATCACAATATCATATTATTAAAATCACTAAATATTCATTTGAGGAAAATATCAAGATAGATTTATGACAACAAAATATTTCTATCTACAATCCTTTAGTCACTAAATAATGCTCCTCTAGTCCTACTTATAGGGCAGAGAAAGAAGTTTTTTTTTAGTCCTATTTATAAGTCATTTCATTAAATTTTTAATGTGAATGTACTATTTTGTCCTTCATTTATTATGGTATTGGTAGTTATCTTTTTTGAAAGGTGTATATATTAAATATGAGTAAAGTTAGAAAATTGTTATATTTTAATAGAGAATTAATGTATGTTAAGGTTTTTCTTGGTCTGTATAAAATACGTTAGAAGTGTCTTATAAATAGAACAGAGAAGTAATTTTTAGCATTAAAATAACTTTTAAAAAAATGCACACACAACTGGGTTAACCCACCAAATCGGTCGGGTTAACTAGGTTTCTCCTCAGTTGCAACGGGTCATATGGGTTGACCCACCTACCAGTTTTTGTATGTAGACCCACCTACCAATTTTTGTTACTGACTGGACCGGTCAGGTGACCGTTGGCCAATTTCCCGTCTAACCTGGCTCGTCCGGTCGGGAATAGCACCTCATCACACACTTTCACCATCATCTTCTTCCTCAAACCCATCTTCTTTCTTTTCTCTTTTCTCACACACAAGATATCTTGTATATGCTTGAGTGCTTTTGGTTGTGAAGGCCCATCTATTACAGTATTAAGTGGTGGAATGAACAGAGAGGGATGGGGAACAGGAAGGAGAGACAATAGACCTGAGGGGAAGATGGGATGCTGAAATGTTGAGGATGATGAGAGAGAGAAAGAAAACGGGCAAGGAGAGATGCATAAAAAAGAGAGTTGAAAAATTTTTTTAAAAAAGGGAGCTTTTTAAAAAAATTATTAAAATATTATAAATCTGACAATTCACACATAAGCTGCTAGGTAGGTTTAAATTTGTCCAATTGGAATGTTTTCATCGGTTAGTGCACAGGTGAGCTGGTAACCAGTACCTAAGAATTCCTCAACTTATTCGCGATATACATTATCTATTTGCCACGTACGCGCCCAGCAAGTGCAAAACCTGTGGTCCGGGGGAATTGATGAACGAAGCAATATCCAAAGGATATCACTTTCGTAAACCAGCTGGCAATAAGACAAAAGCAATTATTAGAAACTATCAAAATAGTACGTTAAAGGTACACCGAATTATCACGTTCTCATCGCTCGTTGTTGCTTTATGGTCCTAGAATAGTGTCGACAAAAAAGTTCTTCCCCCCAACACACTATTTTCACTGTAGATCTAGATTGTTGGATTTCTAGTAAATGGATGAGATTAATATATATTGCCTCGTGTCTTCCGTATAAAAAGATAATTGACTAATTTGAATATATTGAGAAGGTTTATTAAGTTAGTTATTTGTAATAAATAGATGTTTTTTCTAAAATATCCTTACTAATCAAGTGTATTAGCTTTAATATTTAATGAAACTTTTAACATATACAACTATTACAATAGTTATCTTAAAAAAATGAATAAATATGAGAGATAAAGTGAATTCACTACAAAAAAATTGACTTTTAGCGGCGACAAAAGTTGCCGTCGAAAGTTTTTTGCGGCGACAAGTCGCCGCTGAAAAGTCGTTGCCGTAGCAGCCGTGGCTGAAAACTTTCAGTGACGACTAAAAAGGTCACCGCTAAAAGATACTTTCAGCGGCGACTTTTAGAAGTTTCAGCGGCGACATACACTTTCAGCGCGCGACAAAAAAGTCACCGCAGAAAACACTTTCGGCGGCGACACTCTTGTCGCCCCTGAAAGACTTTTCAGCGGCGACAAATGTCGCCGCCAAAAGTGTTTTCTGCGGTGACTTTTTTGTCGCCGCTAAAAGTAATGCCTAAGAAGAATTGGCTTGACCAATGACACGTCATCACCGCCGGTGCCACATCATCGTCTCCGGCTGCCACGTCATCACCGTCGACGGCCACGTCATCACCGCTGACCGCCACATCATCACTAGCCACCTCCACGTCATTGCCACATCACTCCTCCTCACCACGTCATCGTCTAAATATTTTCACCTTAAATGTGTCTTCTTTCAGGTTCGAACTCGTGACCGCCTCCTTTCGTGTTCAACCTTCTTGCCGCTGAGCCAGATTGAATTTGGTTATTAATATTGTAAAATAAAATATATATTATTATATTATACTTTCAGCGGCGACAACTCTGAATAATTATGGGTGAGATTATAAGCACGCTACTAATTAGCTAGGAGGCAATAAATCACTAGGTTATAATTTAGAAGATTCCTTCAATAGTTCTCAATATTGTAATGCCTTTTCAAGCCTCATAAAACTACATCATAATTACCTCAGACATGCATGAGTTTTCTATTTGCCACATCAAATATTACGCACACAAGGTGCAGACGCATGGATACCATGCAAGATCCAACCAATCGATTCTTCTTTGAAAAGCACTGCTACCTAAAAATGCAGCATAACAAGAAGCAATTATTATGGGGGAAAAAAACCAATTCACACTAATGAGAGGAACCGAATTAAACATCGCAAGCATCCAGGCATGGTCCTCTAGCCTGTTGCTGTTATGTTCCCAGAGCCAATAATTAATGACTGCAAAAATTCAACTTTAACACGCGTCACATGTAAATCTTCTATCTCATGCGATACTCTCTTATGATATAGGGAATATGATCAATCTAGCAACCACGTATCCGAAGGTTCTTTTGTCACAGCTAAAACTGAAAATTAAAACATGGAAAAGAACTTATTTGATGTTAAATGACCCGAGCCCTAGCTCTTTATAAATAGGTTGTTTCTGTTGCTTGTTCTAAACCAAAAAAAAAAAAAAACATTATCTTTGCTCCAATCAGTCCGCCATGGTTTCCAATATACAAGGTTGCATCCTTCTCCTTCTGTCCTTGCTGCTGTCTCACTTCAGCTCTGCCAAGGAACTAGGAATGGTCACGTACTGGGGCCAGAATGTGCATGAAGGAGAGTTGGATGAAGCATGTGCCACTGGGAATTACGAGATAGTAGACATAGCATTCCTCAGCATCTTTGGCAATGGACAAACTCCAGACATAAACCTGTCTGGACATTGTTCTGAATCCTGAGGTGTCCCTTGCGCTAAATATGCCTCCCAAATAGCTAACGGCCAAAGCAAAGGCGTCAAAATCCTCCTCTCTCTCGGAGGAGACTCTCGGATATATTCACTTTCTTCAGCTCAAGACGCCAAACGAGTTGCTGCCTCTGGACCAACTTTCTCTATGGCCATCAGAATAATTCAGAAGGCCTGCTAGGAAACGCGATTTTACATGACATCGCCTTTGGCATCAAACAAGGTGGAACCTGTTATTATGATGATCTTGCCAAGGAGATTGACTCCTACAGAATGGTAAAAGATTTTCACCTATCAGCAGCACCACAATGTGCAATCCCTGATCCATACTTGGACTCAGCCATACAAACTGCACTCTTCGACCATGTTTGAGTTCAGTTCACACCAAGGAACAAAAAACCGGACCGGGAACTAAACCGGTCGAGACAGTGGGTCAAGGGTCACTGGTCGGACCGTGGTTGAACCGGGATCGGACCGGTTATATTAAAATAATAAAATTTAATTCATAACATTAAGGTGGAACAACATAATCAAAATTATGATGCAATACGGTACCTTCTCCTCTGTACAAAATTAATCTAAAAGATCAAGTCAAGAAAAATGATCAAAATCAAAGTTTCGTTTACTGTGTCATGTTAACTCAATCAAAATCTTATGAAACTAGATGAACCAAAAACACTATCAGAAACTTCAAAGATGAAAACCCAAGTTATATCAAACCAACCATATTATTATGGCATTTAAAATTAAAATTTATAAAAAAGGGTTGTGGCCGACTAGTCCTGGATCATCATCCCGAACATGAACTCGAGAATTGTGTAATGCAACAACAGCTATATTATTTGACTTATTTCAGCGACAACTCTTGATTTATTTCAGCAACAACAATCTTGATCTATTTGATTTTTTCAGCAATAACACTCTCCTCCCTTCTCAAATCTCATAACAGTCCAGAGAGAAGCAGCTCTTCGACCTTAAAAAAACAACCCAGCTAACAAGTAAAGGTGTTGAGCTTACCCACAAAGCTACAACTCAATGCCTGAACCGAAGGTGAAGCAGGACGTCCGTGAACAGCGAAGGTGAAGCAGGATGTCAGCGAGTAGAGGATGGACTATGGAGACTCGGGACTTGCGACGTGAGCTACGAAGGTGAACGGCGAAGGTGAAGCAGGATGTCAGCGAGTAGAGGATGGACTATGGAGACTCGGGACTTGCGACGTGAGCTACGAAGGTGAACGGCGAAGGTGAAGCAGAACGGTGAAGGCGAAGCAATGTGAGCAGCGAACGAAGCCAAGGAGGAGGGAGTGCCACAATCAGTGATGAGTGAACAGAACGGTGGCACGACGAGGTGATGCTATGGATTGCTGGGGTTCAAGGCAAGAGGCTGGGACAGGGAGAAAGGGGAAGAGATCTCGGCGATTTTGGGGGGGGGAGAGGATTTTGATTTTCAGAAATGGGGGAGGAGGACCGAGGGGCTCAAGACCGGGTTGAACGTGAGAGGAAGAAAGAGTTGTTTCTGCGTTTTTGAACCCAAACGACGCCGTTTTGTATGCTGGGCAACCAAAAAAATTAAACCGGGTGAACCGCCCAACCGGTTTTTACCCGGTTTAACACCGGTTTTTACCGGTTGGACCGGTTCCCCACCGGTTCACAACAGATCCGGTTTTTTCTCCAAACCAGACCGGACTGAGGACCGGTTCACCGGTTTTCCGGTTGAACCGGCCGGTCCGGTCCGATTTTTTTCTCCTTGGTTCACACAATAACCCTTCGTGCCAATATTCTCCTTGGAATACTCAGGACCTTATGCACTCGTGGAACCAGTGGACTGACTTCCCCATCTCCAAGTTATATCTTGGCCTGCCGGCGTCTCCGGCGCCAACTGGCAGGGCTGGTGGCTATATCCCAGTAGACGGACTAAACCATGAGATTCTTCCACGTATAAAAAGCTCTCCCAATTACGGGGGTGTATGCTATGGAGCAGGTACTATGATATAGATTCTGGGCATAGCGGTAAGATCAAATCTGGTACTACTCTTGGAGAGTTCAATAATGTTGCCAAGATCTAATCAGCCTCAAGAGTGCTGTGTCGCCTTTTATCGCTGTACTATAGCTAGTGTGACTGCAACTTGCCTAGCAACTATCATGTATGGAATAAGCTGTACAAGGCAAAGTGCCTTCGGTCCTTAAGTGACGACTTGATTATGCTCAAGGTTTTATTTAATTTTTTTGGGTTTCTCTTTCATTAAACTTAGATGTCAAAACTGAAAATAAAGGGAAAAATTTTAAAAAGGTGACAATTATTTAGTATTCACATGTATCCATACATTGATTAATATAGAAAGATGAAGCCAAAAGAAGGAAGGAAAAAAAGTTCCATACGCATACTCACATCACCCGTAAATTGAAGGATTAATTAATCTGCAAGTCTTTATAGTTTCAACCAATTTTGAATCAAGTTCCTATAGTTTTTTCACTTTTTATCAGGTCCTTATACTTTCATCTGTTTTTAATTAGGTCTTTGCATTTATTCTTCTTTTTATCAAATCCCCATAATTTTGCTAAATTTTCAATAAGTCCATGTAGTTTTAATTTTTATATTTCTTGCATCATGAATTTAAACGTGCTATACATATAATTCCATTTCTCCACATCATCATCAGCTGGCAATCGTGTCGTTTTCTTTTGTTTTATTAGAGATATAATTCCATTCTTTCCTTTTTCCTTCCCATTCTTTTTGCTCTTCTCCTTTTTCTAATCATAAAATCAATATTGAAATGGTTTATATTTTATTTCCTACAAATTAAAATGTTTTTTATTTTTTAATGCAACTATTCATTTCAAATTTTAGTGGCATAAATTTAATTATTTATTTTAATTTTTTAATTTAACATTTGGATAATAATTTGAATTATATAACACATTCATTACAAAATGTGTACCGAATATCGATGAGTAATGTTAAATTGGATGTAATGCTTGGCTCATCATCATTTAACAAGAGTACCGCAAAAGGTGATCATTACACACACCCACACTTCACATACACCCATACACATCATATCTAATATTTTTTTTATATTTTAAATATAAGATCTCAACTTTTTCTCAAACTTATAAATTTTTCACAAACTTAAATTATTGATATATTAAAGAGAGTTTCTGTTAGTAGAAGTAACGATCAGAGAGGATAATTGTTAAAAAAAATGATAGTTAAGAAAGTCAACAAACATTTTTTTTATAAATAACCAACTTACTAAATTTTTAATATATGTAAATTAGTTATTAAGTTCCTATATTAATATGTAGATCAAGGAATTTGTTTGTGTTAAAATTATTTTGGTTCTCTTTAAATATGTCCTTAATTAAATAGGAATATTTTTTAAAAGATCGTTTCTTAAAGTTGAAAAAACTTATAAAGTAGGAGTAGTTTTCTTAAAAAATATTGTAAAATATCGTAAAATTCTAAACTATATAGTATAAAAAAGAGACATAAACTTTTTGAAAAAATGATGATGTATCTAGAAGCGTAGGAAGACCAAAAATGGCCGATCGTGGTTCCCTAGCTAGTGATTACATAGCTTGCGGGGTCCTTGAAGAAAATGGCAGCAAAATTCAACATTCATAGCACGTGCTACGTAAAAGTCTTAATATTCTTATAGTTTAATTAATGATGCATTTCCTTGCTTCAACATGAGTTAAAAATAATAGGATTTGACGCTAATGACCCCATTCCCAGCTAGCCCATTATAAATGGGTCATTTCTGTGGTTCCTGCTAAAACAAGAAAGCACATTGCCTTTGGCTTCTCTTAACCTCTACTTTCATGTCTTCCAAAAGACAAGCTCTGGTCCTCCTCCTTTCGCCCTTATTGCTGCTCTCTCACTTGAGCTCGTCCCAAGGCTGCCCAATTGTCACCTACTGGGGACAGAATGTGAACGAAGGAGAGTTGAGCACAGCATGCGACACCGGAAAGTACGAGATCATCAACATAGCATTCATGAACACATTCGGCAATGGGCAAACTCCAAATATAGACCTCTCAGGACATTGTTCTGAGTCTTGGGGTGTCCCTTGCACTAAATATGCCTCCCAAATAGCCTATTGCCAAGCCCTGGGCATCAAAATCTTCCTTTCTCTCGGAGGAGTCTCTGGTCAATATGGTCTTTCTTCAGCTCAAGACGCCCAGGAGTTTGCACAACACCTCTGGACCTACTACCTCAGTGGCCAAAGCCTAGGTCTCCTCGGAAACGTGACCTTAGATGGCATTGATTTTGACATCGAAGCTGGTTCAAACTTGTACTGGGATGTCCTTCTTAAAGATCTTTACACTTATAAGGAAGTAAAGACCTTTTATTTATCAGCAGCACCGCAATGTCCAATACCAGATTACTACTTAGACATCGCCATCAGAACTGGCCTGTTTGACTACATCTGGGTCCAGTTCTACAACAACCCTCCCTGCAAATACACAGATGGAGATACTCAAAAACTTATAAGTTCATGGAACTAGTGGACCGCTACCTTCAACGCCACCAAGTTCTATGTTGGCCTCCCGGCGTCTCCCGCTGCAAATGGTAGTGCCGGTGGTTATGTCCCGATCGATGTGCTGAACAAGGAGATTCTTCCGCATGTAGAAACCTCTCCCAAGTTTGGTGGGGTGATGTTATGGAGCAGGTACTACGATTATCTGTCCGGGTATAGCAGTAAAATCAACTGTACTGCTCCTGCAGCTCTCAAGGTTGTCCGCGCACCGTTGGTTGCCATGATGAAATCTGTGTCGGAGGTTCTGTATCGCCTTTTATCGCAGTACTAGACTGTGACTCCAACCTCTCTGGCTACTATGTCATGTATGGAATCAGTTGTCGGAGGGTAGTGCCTTTCTTCCTTATCAAGTGATGAAAGTCTTCAGGTTATCATCAATGAGAAATAAAAACTTTAATTGAGTACGTGATACTGTTCTTTTAAGGTTTTACTAGTTTTTGTTTCTTGTTCATTTTGATTATGTTTGCGGTCGTATCCGTCTGGTGCGTGCAGCTGACACAGCTAATTAACACAAATCAACTTGCATCCATAACTCATAACTCAGCGACGACATTACTTATTTAATTAATTAGGCCCCAGCCCCTTCTAATATTCTGGTACTAATATTAAAATACAAGCCAGGAATGTCTAGCTAGCTAGCTTCGCCTTTTACATGAGACACATAAAAACGTCCTTCTACGTCGCGATAGTTTCTTCTATAGGTCAATCATAGGTTCTTTTGTCCATAGCTAAGTTATGAGAAGTAAAATTTCAAGATAATACTCTTTTACTTTGCGGAAAATATATCGACGTTAATGTGACCACCGTCCAAGGCCATAGTTAACTTATGCTCCTTCGCTCACAACTTCTGCCTATTTTCCGATCATCGTTGGTTTTTTTTTTTTTTGTGCGGCTATATCCATAACTTAATTTTATTAATAATGCGACCATATTCATAGTTGTACTTCATAGTATTTATCTATTTTTTTCTTGATTAAAATATTTTAAATTTTAATATAGATTTGTATCTAAAAATGCTTGATGATCTATCATACCTTGAAAGAACATATTAAAACATTTTTCTGTTTTAGTTGACATTTGTTAATATATATTTTTTATCAATGGCCATAATTTTTTCCCCCTATATATGGACAAATATTTCACATGTTTGTACTTCAAATTATTTATTCATATTTTCTCTAAGGACATGCATGTATTAAATTTTAGTTTAAATTTACCTTTAAAAACTGCTCGATGACCATATATTTAGGAAAAGCTCAAAACCTTTTTCTTTTTTCACTGGTATTTGACGATTTTTCAAATCATCTCTCTCTCTCTCTCTCTCTCTCTCTCTCTCTCACACACACACACACACACAATCTGTTCATCCAAACGCGCTATATGAAAATTAATATTCCATTATTGCTTCACCTTTTCTTGTTGGTTTAGGATCTCATCAGCCAGGCTTTAAAAGTACCAACGCGTGGTTGTATGCAAAAATAGTTCCAGACGCTTACAATACGTATTCCTTCTACCTTCACATGGAGGCATGGCTATTCTAGAGGACAAGATGAATCTTTTGCAATGCTTTGAGGGACAATATAACGTAGTTGTTAATTATTACTTACAATATTTTTCAGCTTTATATTAAAATATCCATAAGCCAATCCGCAGTTGTCATGCATAATATTTTTGTATATATTCTCGTTGCTAGAGACAATAAGTAAGAATCAAGAATCAACTAAGAGATAATTATAACTAAGATATGTACAAGGCATTTGCCTGCGTCGTCACTCGTTATATTGTGGAAAAGAGGGAAAAAAGGAAATTTGACGTTAACAACCCTAGCCCTAGTCCATTGTTTTCATATGTGAGAGTTCTCATCGTTGTACTTTAATATTATTCTAAGATGCTTCCGACAAAGTGGCCTAATTTCTTGACAAGGGAAATTATCAACTAGAAACAACCAAGTCGCATTAGAGGGGAATCGAAATTTCACCCTCCCATGGTCACAAGATCAATGGCGACAAAGCTTCACGTGTAACGTAACTCAAGGCGCCACGTATATAATTAATTATTCTTCCGGTCTTAAATATAAGATTTTTTTCATAGTGTAAATTATACTATAAAAGGAGTCTTATATTTAAGACCGGATAAATAATTTGATATCTTTACGTATCTCTCATACCCACTTCACACAGAACCCAACTCTTTCTAATAATGGATTTGGTATTAATATTATCTTTATTTCTAATTATAAGACTTTATTTACAAATTATAAATGAAGTCTTATAAGAGGTAATATACTAGATTGTGGTCAAATTGTGACAAGAGAAAATGGCCGAGCCTGTACGTCAACGTCTAGCTAAACTTTAATAGATAATAGAATAAAACTACAGTTGCTTGACTATGACTAGTGGAATAAACCAATGATGACATCAATTTTTATATTTATGATCTGAGTTGAGTGATTCC